AGTAAGCCGCTGAGATGGGCTCAGAGTGCCATGAGATACATACAGATTTGTTAAGGCATTCAAAAAATGAAAGATGGATTCACAGACACACGACAGCGTGGTGATATTGTAAAAAAAGTAAAGATGTTCCTGTGCTTAATTAATTAAGCAATATGCCATGAAGGTGTATGTGGGAATGTATAGATTCACGTATACTTGACCTCAGACTACCTTTATTTTTAACCTAATTTTCTTATTTTGTAAAAATAAAATTAGGCTTATGCGGTCTCAATGCTGTCTGTGTGTCAGTGTATCCCCCCCTATTAAGTTTTGAATTCCTGAATCAATCTTTATTAAACTTTCTATACATAATATGGCACCTAAGCCTGTCTAAACGGTGTACTTCATAAACTTCTCCGATCAGACTGTGTGTCTGTACGCGTACCCCTACCGTTGCTATGCAACGGCTCATTAAATATCTCCTTATCATTGTTAGGGTATGGCTTGGTAAAAATATTACAGCAGTAAAGGTATACAAATGCAACAATAGAAGAAATATTAGACTCGTCTTTTTCTATGTAGTCCGTGTCGTATGAAGGAAAATATGCCATTAGTTCTTCCCAGAACTTTTCTTTTCAAAACAATTAAAGTAGGCTTATAAAAATGAGAGTAAGTACAGCATGGTAATGGAACGATGATAGTGTTATTGTCATTGGACAACAAAACGAATTTTGAACATTGTCATTGTCTAGGATGTGACTCTACAGTCTGGTAGGAATTAAGAAAATTGCTAAGTATTGTCGGTGAACTCTGTGAGACTGCAGATGTCATATCGCAGGTTCTACTCTCCATAGCAAAATTTTGTCAGCAAAATCTGGATGATGTTCTTCTGACTGCAGATCATTCAAACAACAATAAATTTTATCTTTGTGATCGATTCATTCCTCTTCCTTTTGCTTATTGTCCCTGTAGTTTCACAAGCACATTCTTATCATTCAAGCCATAGAAAATCCATTTCAGTAAGCAGGGGATCCGAGTTCGACGTTCCACTTTTTTGTATTGTTAAAACAAAAAAAAAACATTTCTAATATTTCTGCAGCGTACACAAAGCAACTGAAGGAAGCGAATAGTAGCGATATTATCTCGCAAACTGCTCATGTACTGGAAATATATATTCACTGCCTTTTGCAGCAGACAGAACTTCACAATAAAAGAATTCACCCGGGTGTATTGGCTTCTCTACGAAAAATTGTGTCAATGCTGCAATGATTCTAGGGTCACAACCGCTACTGCAATATACCAAAATAAGAGAAGCTGTAGCTATCCCAGAAACAATGAGAAGAGAAAAGGGGAGCTGTGTTATGGAAGGGCTGGATATGGACGTTGAAGCAGATATACGCCCTCTCATAAGTTCCGCATCTCCTCATCCGTTCCAGTGAGGCTATTCCTAATGTCTTTAGAAGTCAGAAATATCGTTTTCAGCAACAATGCATGCAGGAACAAATTTCCAAAACTGTATTGCAATGGATTCCTTTGTAACGCGTGTATTCATTCAACCGGCGATTTTATACTGATCTGGGGTTACTAATTTTAGCTTTCGCATGGGCTACGCAGGTGGCAGAGGAAAACTGCGACGATTCAAATAATCATGTCCATCGAGACGGAAACTAATGATTAGTCCTGTCTCAGTTATATTCTAAGGGGATCTGACGATTGTGTATAAAACACAGGATTACTGGGTTTTTGGACCTTTATCATCGTCGTGTATTCTAGAAAAGAGAAAACACGACTTTTCGGAAAGTGGATCTGATTCGTCCTCAGGTGAGGAGGTGAAGACACCTACTCATTTGGTTCCCTTAGAGTTAACCTCAACCACTGGACACAGGGATCTGAGTAGATGTCTTCCCCCACCTCACCTGAGGACGGAAATAGATCCATTTACCGAAAGTCATGTTTTCTATTTTCTAGAATACCGGATGATGGTAAAAGTCCAAGGGCCCAGAAATCCTGCCTGTCTCAGTTGTTAACTTTCTGAACGAATCACCAGTTCACGCAATTCAGTACAGGAAACGTATTTATATATAGGTTTCCATGTAAGCCTATAAGCAAATTCATGTTGTTTATATGTAAATCAGAATGAAGTAAATTGTCCGAAACAACGAAGGTGGATTTTATGTTGATATACAATCGAGTTTTGTAGGACCGTCATATTTTCTTCTTCCTTCTGTGGTTACGTCTGGTAGAAACAGCACCAGTTTTCATCGGTGTAAATAGTTAAAAATTCTACGTGGAAAGGGACATAAAGTTAAGCTCCTGTTACAGGAGTTCACGGAATGTTTCTTCATCTAATAGCTTCCATGATATAGTTCCGCAAGGTCGCTGTGTTATTCTCTCTTGTAAATGTTATACACTACACATGCCCATATATTTTATGTTTATTTACAAATTGTGACTTCTTGTGGCGTTCAGTAACAGAAATTTGCCGTCATATTTGATGAATGTCAGTGGTTCAATGCTTGTTATGAGAAACGGACATTAGAGTAAGCTCCGGTTGCAAGAATTTGCTTTTATGCGTACATTCTCTTATCTACTTTTATGTATAGTGCAGAAACGTATCAGGCCCTTATATTGTTATTTTTCGTGTGGTATATTTTATATAACTTTTATCCATTTACCAATATCTTCTTCAGTTGCATCCGGTGACCAAAACTCGACATTGAATATTATGAATATCAGTTATTCCCAACTTGGTAGAGTAAGCAGACGCGATACTGTTCTCTAATCACGTGACTCTGTAGTGCAGTGTTCAGCGGAGAACTTTTGACACTTGTAAAGAAGCAGAGGCACACAAGTTATACAGTAATTCAATCACACTCTTGGGCCCCTAGCTGCCACGCCTCGCCTTGCCCCTCCAACCTCCTCTTCAAGAGTTACAAGTTTCGCAACAAATAACAGAGCCAACTGCGCGAAATCTCTTGGGGCACATTTCAGGAAGATGGATGTAACAAAAATGTTATACACCAGAACATGAATAATACATAATTGAGCATATAGAGACACAGAGCTTTTCTGGAAAGTTAAAATTTTAAATTGGTATAAAAATTATTGAGGATATATAGCACATATTCTTTTAGTAGTACTGTGGAAATTTCAGTATTGTACTGAAATATTTACGTATATAAAATATATTTAATTTTTCATGTTCGGGAAATAAATGTTAGAATTCTACGGTTGTTTAATAAATACGATTCATTTTGACCTTATTTAAACACAGTTATTTCATTCTGTCTTTTGCATTCAAGATTAGATGCAGGTTTGGAATTACATTGTCGATTTCTCTACTCTGTCTCATCCCTCCTGTTTACATGTCATACATGTCTTGCATTCCTATATAATTTTAGATATTCGAAAGTTATTGAAACACATTTATGGAATAAATAACGTTAATTCCTATAGCAGCGATCTAGAAACCGCTGTGACTAAGTCAGTAGAATGACTAGGCTAGGGGATGCACGATAGAAGATTATGGGTCCAATTCCTGCAGGACCAAAAATTATCCTTAATGGCTTTCAGCAGACGGGCTCTGGGACCCATTCGGCCTCATATCCAATTTGTACCGTGATTTCCTTCCCGGGTTAAATTAACTAAAGCGTATATCTGTCCACTCACATCCATCTACGGCCAAGATTAAGAATAAGTGTATCTATATATCCATTGCTCGAAACGTCTGTATGTCACGATTCTTAACCTTTCGAAATGTAGCAATTACTGCATGCATGGAATTTCGCTAAAACTTCCACGTGTGAAAATATTTGTAAAATAAAATTTTATATCCTGCTTCAGTCATTTTTATTCTGAGATCACCTCCTTCATATTTATCAAAATAATGTACCTTATTCTAAATTGTGCACAACTTATACAGACACTTAATTTTCAATCCCTTCTCATTGAAAATCATTTTACTTACACTTGTCACGTAACAACGACGACTTTGACGTCATTCTGTTAGAACCGAGATCAGTCTTGCAGTCTGGCCACGGTTCTGCGAGAGCATTCACGCTGAGTGCTCTCGAACACGAAACAGGAATGCCAAGCATTCAGCCTCAAATTTTGGTCGATGTTATCATACATTGAGGTCGAATGCTTAGAATTCCTAGTATGTAGGAGGGTATGTGTCTTCGAATTCTGGATCGGTGATACAGAGAGACTTTGTATCGTCTTCCACAGTGCTTCTAGGAAATTCTGCAGCTGTGTTTTGAATATACCCACAGCTCCTTTACACATATTCTCTATTTATTCCTATTTAGGTATTTTGAAGAACGATCTCTGTATCTCAGACAATGTAGAGTGAAATGGTGGGATGCTTAGAGAACGAGTAATCGGACGAGAAATGGAAAGACGAAACTTATAATTTAACATAATATCTCTACATTTATTTGGAGGAACTGAAGAAAACCAAGAAGAATATTAGGGTAGTCAGTGCCCCAGCTGAAATTCTAATTTTACTTTGGCCGAACACACGAAGAAATTCCTATAACTTGATACAGCTTATTTTTCACGTTATGCCAGTTCGTTATTCAAGTACGTTCCCGCAATTGTGTCATATATTGTATCATTGACTATGTAAGTCGAAGGATCTGAGTCCTTCTTGGGACACCACCTGTCGCTTAGCTGCTCAAGAATCTATGAACATATTAAGAAAACTGAAGATTCATTACCATGTTCGCAAAAGTCCTCTCCCGGTCTCTATCCCGTGGCAGATGAATCAAGTCCATACCACCCCATGTTATTTCTCGAAGATCCATTTCAGTATTATCCTCTCACTTATTTCTATGTTTTGTTAATTGTCTCTTTCCTTCTGACTTTGCCACCAAAATCTTACATGCATACCTCTTCACCTCTATGCATACTCCGATTTATTGTATAACTAAGTAATTAAATGTCGTTACATAAATGGAGTACCCATGAGTAAAAATGTCCTTGAGAACAATAACTCAGAAGCTGGTAACTATTTGTTGCAGGTTCCTGTGGCGCCGTTTTCGGGCCCGGAAAGGAGACGGCTACGAGGGTGTGCTGCAGAGGGACGGGAGTTCGGACCCGCTGGCCGTGAAATCCCTCTCAGCTAGCGGCAACCTTCTCACGGACGAGGTGAGCACGCATGATTAATGTTAAAGTGGATGACACATCACTAGACTTACAAACTGTAACAGCCATCACTTGTTGCTCGTATTTTGAGTGAGAAATCAAGGAGCTTCTTTCTTAGATTTCGTCAAATCTGTCATTGAAAACTCTGAGGCATTGCTTTAATTATGTCCGGACTCGCTCCATTGGACTATTTGTCAGGTGATCTGAAAGGCTTCTCGTCTTCCCCTTTTTGCAGAATAGATCATTTTTGCACGTTTAATGCGAGAGATAGACAGTGATTAAAACACAAAGGAAGTAAAACAGCTGTAATGGAGGTAAGAGGTTTTCTATATGCATCACTAGGTAGCAGCACAGTCCAGCTTCATGACAGCGTAGGTAGCAGACGCGCATGCGCATGTTCAGAGGCTGGTCGAATACGAAATTTTTGTGCCTAATAAATCGCCCTTGAAACTTATCAGATTTATTTTTTAGAGAAGGGCGCATTCGCTAAATTACTATTACATCTAAGGTCGGAAATCAAAAGTGTGTCGTTGTGTTAAATACACTCGAAGAACGCCTGTAAGGATGGCTTACTGTGCTGACTAAAAGTTTTGTGCGAAGAATTGCCGAGATAACACAACAATGAACATCATGCACTTAAAAAAACACGAATTTGACAAAGATTTTTAAATAATAAGCATTTCCATTTTTGTATTGTTTAAAGTTATGATTTCTTGCCTTGAGGAAAGAATATATATTATTTGAAGAAAGCAGTCTTCTGGGATTTGGCACCGTGTATATGTGGTGTTAACCGACGTTTCGGAGGAACGTATCGCCTCCATCTTCAGGGTAGAAGAAAAAATATATAAGAAATCTGCAAGCAAAGAGACCGTGAGAACCGGTAAAAGCAGNCAAAAAAATTAGCAAAGAAAATATTTGGACAAAAGATAATTGAACTAAGACAGAAGCATCGGAAATGAAATAAAGATAACTGCCTCTTATAATGTTTTTAGTGTTTCTATCAATATTATAACAAAAAGTATCTGGTCTAGAAATATAGCTGTGGTTGGAGGAGCAAGTAACTTTTTCATAATTGTGGGACAGATGTCTCTTCGTCAAGCGGTAATTTAGAAAATGGAAAATAGGAGTTCGCAACGAAAATCGATTGAACCGACCCCAGCCTTCTGTTGCAAGAGAAGCAGGGTTCCTTTTTTAAGGATTTAGCGATATTATCTTCAAGTAGTTCGTCGTTATTTTCGTAACTATAATTGACTAATAACTGGTGGATCTTTTCGGATAAAATAATTAAAATTGTGTCTCCCATCCTTTTGTCTTACATCCCTGATATTTTCCGACCATTAGTATATATTCATTGAGTGGCTGTCACATTTGATATTGCTCTTGCTTTCCAGCCATAACATTCAGTATTGTACCATTGCATTGTTCCTCGGTATTCCCAGCCATGTTCTGCTATCTCAATTTCTTTTATAATTCGTTAATATATATATATATCCGCCGCTCTACAGAAACTCATTTCTGCAATCTGCAAACTTTCTATGCGAATTTTCGCTAACGTCAAGCGCTGGTATCCAGCCAGGCCTACTGTAAATTGTGAAAAAGGGTAGTATCCTACAGTACTGTTACAGTTACAATTAGGGATCTTCAGGATCTGAGAGAGGTGAGATGGAGCCATTGTAAATCACTGATTTAGGGCCCTCATCCCAGTCAGAAAATCACATTAATATATGAATATTGTCACGTATTCCACGTCACAATATATTTAATAAACTTACTTTTTTTATTGCTAGTGGGGTGGACTAAGTCCTTTTTACTGCGGCCACTTGTAGCCTATTGTACCAGACCCAGAAGATAGGTGAGGGTGATTGTGGAGCAATTGATGGAATGAAGATTGGCAGGGGAAACCAAAGTACTCGGAGAAAACCTGCCCCAGCGCCACTTTGTCCACCACAAATCTCACTTTACCAGACCCGGGATCAAACCAGGGCCGCCGCGGTGGGAAGCCAGCGACTAACCGCTTGAGCTAATAATTTATAAATTAATTTTAATTTTAATAATTTAAACGAAAAATTTGTGTTAGAAGAAGCTGCTAAATATGACAAACGATGTCCTTCAAAACTGTCGTATTTATAGGTAATATAAATAACACAGTCATTCTTTTCGGGTATTATTAAAAAATGACAGAAATATTTCCATTATAATTTTACGCATTTTACACAACAGATGTTTACACAGCAATGTTGAGAAGTGATCAGAATGCTAAAGTGATGCTGATAGCAGGCAGTAGTCCGTGACAAATTCCCACCCACTTCAGGAACACTGCCAGGAATTCAACACAAGCTTTCGAATATTGATTTTATTTCGTTCTGGCCCCCACCCCTTTTTAAACCGGAATATGTAGGAAATATCTACTTGTATGTTCTAACTTTTGTTAGCTTATCAAAGTTCCGAATATATCGTATTAACGTTTTAAGATTTTTAATACGTATCGAATAGCAATATTTACGTTCCTTGGCACCCTGCAAGGTAACGTTCTCAGTTATATGATGAACAGAAAGTCGTGCAAGTGAAACGAAACAAATTCAATTCTTTGAAGCAGTGCAAGATTTAACCTAAACCCAAACTTAAAAAGAAAAACATTCCCCCGTTGCTTCGATTAACTTCTTAGCGATTATAACCGTGTCCCTGTATTTAATAACGTTCCAACAACTTCACTGGTGGCGCAGCAGCGAATGGCTTCGCAATTAGGAAGCATGTACAAGGAGGGGGAAGTAGTGTATTTTAAACTGCTGTCAAAACTTATTCCTGGAGGGCCTGAGAAACGCGATGAAATTTAATTGTCCTTATTTCAGAGGTACGTGTAAAGGCATGACCTCCAGAATACGGAATATAATTGCTATAATATTTTCACTAAAACATGTCGCTGTGCTGTGGTTTCGAAGGAAGTAAACGAAGCAAGAGTAAGCATGGGAAAAATAACTTACAGTTATGCCAAATGTAACTAACGAAATACTGGTTTTTAATGAATAATGATTATAATGTTAAGTGTGTTCTTGCAAAGTGCGAAATTTGATTCAGTTTTCAGGTCTAACCTCGACTGTCGGTTTGATGCTTATTTATTTCTTATTGGGTGAACCTTTACATGTTTTGCTCCTTTTCAATTGCAATAATTAAAAATTCCCTGGAATATCGGTATACGGACTGAATTTGAAAGAAAATTATCTTTATAATTTCTGTCCCAAACTTAATGTACTATAACGTGTTTTGTTTCAGATACTCTCGGTCATTTGTCAATTCCGCTATTTTGAAACTTCATGCAACTTCAATAACCGTATCAGTAGGGTGATTTTATTTTTCACAAAATTCTGCCCTTTGCAATTGCGAAACATGTGAACTAGTATGCCGCCCACAGAGTGACGTTGACACTGTAGTCTAATGGGAAGTGAAACAACAATCAATCACAAAGTACCCGGAGACCCGTGAAATTATAGCCGAGATTACAGCTACACGCCTGGCGTAATGCTGTGAGGTGTAAGGTGGAGGCACTTCAATGTCATCTTCATTTCCCATCCGTGACACATCTAAAGATGGAGGTTACATACCCTTAGGTTAGATTTCCTTATATAAAGACATACATAGTATAGAAACACAAATACCATTAACTTTACGCGTTTATCTCATTTCCTGGCTTGCCTTTGACATTAAACTCTATCCTGTGTCAATATTCTTGCATGGCGTAAATTTCTATGCTTCTTGCTTTTCCGAGTCATACATTCAGAATTAATTTCTAGATATAATTTATGTGGAAGATAATTTAGATATTCATCATAACTGTAAGCCGATCACAGTGGCCGTGCTGTCTAAGACATAAAATGTCTTCTTCCGTTCAAACTGTGGGATCATGTGTTCGAATCCCACTTAAGACATGGATGTGTGTGTGCGTTTATTCTGTGTTTGTGTTGTTCTGTGTATAGATAGTAGCATTGCGACAGGCTGATCTCCCGTCCAAGGAGTCCTACCGACTGTGTATTCGATTAAGAAACCTAGAAGATCAAGGTCCAACAAAAGACTGCAGAGCCATAGATAAACAGATAATAACCGCAAAAAAAAATTGTGGATTTTAATTAGGTGAATACGGATATGGCTTCTGATATATTGTCGCATAAGCTGTTAAAAATCAGCGGTATAGAACTGCAAATTATCTTCGGATTTATTCAGGTTTATCTGACTCCGTCAATATAATGGATTTCGACTCGTAGATGAGTACAAAAGTTTGGGTAGCACATCATGCTATATGGGAACGTAAGGGTGGTCAGTCAAAGTGTTATCTGTTGTTCCAGGCCAGTGATTTTGAGAAGACAGATTAATTATCCCACATACGAACTCCCTCAGTCGTAAACACCAACGAAATTCCGAAGGATTTAATTCAACGAAGCAACGGACTAATGAACGTAACAAGAAATAGAGAATTAAAATAAAATTTATTGATACAACATTAAACAAAATTAATGTAAGTTATGAAAGCCTGAAAATGTTAGAAATATAATACACAAATATTATCACAAACAAAGAAGTTGGAAAAAATATACCATATTTTGAAAGAGAAGCCGACAAAGGGAAATACATTCTTTGCGAAATTTAGAACGATCAAGAACGTTATAATATTTACTTTATACGTGTAGTAACTTCCACGGCCATGACAGTGTGGTTTCTCGTTGGTGAAGCGCAGTTTATCTAATTAAGGTAAAGCGAGGAAAATCAGCCATGCAATTTACCCAACATCGTGAAGTGGAGAGGAAGGTTGGTCTTACAGTTCCGCTAATCAAGTCAGTTTTAAACTAAAATGTTATTCCTTATATTCTAAAGTACAAAATTTCTATTTCAATTATCATTCTATAAAGTCTTCGTTTGTTCATTTCACTGCCCTTTTCAAAACGTCATAGCCTATTGCCATCAGTAAAGGTCGGCTCAATGTTTTATCGTGTTGTGAGTTCATTTCAAAATGC